CCCCCCCGGCTCCAGGACCCAGAGAGAGGCAACATTGGGACACCTGTGTGACCTTCCTTCCCCATCAGAACAGACTGGGCAGGATGGTGGCAGGGACGGACGGCTCTCCTGGGCAGTGTGGACCCCAGGACTGACAGCCACACAGCCTGCGACCCAAGCTCATCACCTTTTCAGCCACATCAACGCCAGCGTGGCCCCCACTTTGGGCCACTCTGCTCCATACATTTCCTTCTCTGCCTCCAGGATGTTCTGCAGGGTCCGGAACTTGGCCGGGTCGGTGTCATACACGGCTTTGATTTTCTGAAATGGAGCACACGAGGTGTTCTCGTTGGAAAGGCTGTCCCCACAGACAAGCGGCCGGCACACTGGGTGGAGGGCCCCCCTCGCCTTCCCACCAGTGCCAAGAATGGCGATAGGGCCCTGGCCCGCATGGCTAGGTTGGTTGGAGCATCGCCTGTGCACTGAAGGGTGGCCGGTCCAATTCCTGGTCAGGGCACGTGCTCTGGTTGCAGGCTTGATCCCCAGTAGGGGGCATGCAGGAGGCAGCGATCCATGATGTTTCTCTCTCATCAATGTTTCTCTCTCTCCCTTTCCCTTCCTCTCTAAAAATCAATTTTAAAAAATCTTTGGGGGGGGGGAGGAACCAACCACAGCAATAGAGCTGGTTGTAATAGTAACTCCCAGGACTTTCGAATTGGGTCTGAATCCCACCTCTGCCACATCCTTGCTGTGTGACCTCAGGTGAGTCCTTCAGCCTCTCTGAGCTTCCTCAACAGAACCAGCCTCAAAGGCTACTGGGATGTAGAAATGAGATAATGTAGTGCGGCCAAGCCCCAGGCGGGGCCCTAAGAGGACCCTCCCAGGCAGAGAGGCTCAGCAGCTGGGGGCGGGCACCAGGAGCTGCCAGGGCTGAGGAAGAGAAGCGCTGGGCTAATGCACCATGGACTTCAGAGTTTAGTTATTTGGTGGAGTGGATACAAGAACCAGTAGGTTCCTTCTCAGGTCAACCCTCAGACTGTGGTCCCAGTCAGGCTGTAACTAGATGCCACGACTGCTTAGGACCAAGAGCCTCAAGTCCCAATTCCGATGAGCTAGTGGCCAAGCCGTTTTCCATGTCTCCTTCCTATCCCTCAGTCCGGGGAGCTTGAGGCAGGGGGCAGGCTCTTCGTAACGGGGGCAGGTTTAGATTCCCGATGCGGTAAGCAGGACCGGGGTTGCAGCTGCCGGGCCAAGTACGTACCGTGATGTTGCCACTTATGTCCGCCTTGATGGGTGTAAACACTGGGGACCCAAGGCAATCTGGGGAGAAAACGAGAAGAGAGATTCAGATTCCCAATAAGGGCCCAGGAGGCCTGCGGACAGGAGGGGGTGTCACTTGACGTGTTGAGGGAAAGGCAGAGCTGTTTATAGGTGTTAAAAAGGTGAGACCAGTTTCTTACTGCAGGACTTCTCAGAGCCTTTAAAATGCAACTGGAATACCTGGGGGAGGGGCAAACCCTTTTGTCCACGGTACCTCTCCACACTAGAACAGCACTATCCCAATGATGGAAACGTTTTATATCTGCAACGCAGGCCACATGGGGCCCTGAGCACTTGAAATGTGGTGAGATGGAGGCACTGAATTTGTAATTTTATTTAACTCTCATTCATTTGAATTTAAATAGCCACGTGTCGCCAGTGGCTACGGTACTGTACAGCACAGCTGTGCAGTGTCTTGCAGAGCTAAGGATCTGAACAGCCCATCTCGGCCAATGAGGCGGGTCACTGCTCATTAATCAGCTGGCCAGGAGGGAGAAGGTGGGAGAAGAGGGACCAGATGTGTTAGAGATGACCTCCTCATGCACCAGCTTATAGGGGAGAAACAAGCTGACGACCCCGAAACCGTGTAAAAGCCCAGGAGAACACACCAGCAAGGGCATCAGTCACTTAACAGAGCAGAAACTTGCCCTTGACACTCCGCTCTGCACGCTCTGGGCATGTGGGCTCAGGTGTGTTTCCCTTCACTCTGAGCCTCGACTTTCCCATCTGGCAAATGGGGCAACCGAACCAACCGATCACAGAGGTGCTCCGAGACACATATCCACTTCCAAGACACTTCCAAGACACATATTTTGGGGGGGTTTTTTGTTTGGTTTTAGGTTTTTAATCACCTGAGGATATTTTTTCCATTGCTTTTTCAGAGAGAGTGGAAGGGAAGGAGGGAGAGAGAAACATTGATGTGAGAGAGACACATCGATTGGTTGCCTCCCGCACAGGCCCCTACCGAGGCCAGGGGTCAAGCCTGCAACCCAGGTATGTGCCCTTGGCCAGAATTAAATCCAAGTCCCTTCAGTCCACAGACCGACACTCTAGCCACTGAGCCAAACTTGCCAGGGCTATATTTTGTTCTTAAATGAAGGCATCTTTCATTTCTTGACAGCTCATAAAACAATAGAGCATCTTAAAATAGATGACTCCTTTGAGTTAATGAGATGTAGGCCTGGAACTCTGGGCTCCACATGAAACGTGAGCAGCCTGTGGCCTGGCCCTGCTCCTTTCCCTCCTTTGTGACCCATTTGGCAGGCTGTCATGGGGACCAGAGACACCCCACAGGTCAGAGCTCCTTGCTAAGGGCTCGGCACAGAGGAACTGTCCAGAGCCCAGGGGACAAAGATGCCAAGCAGGCCACAGCAGGTACCAAACCCACAGGAGGAAAATGCCAGAGCCCGCTTCCCCTTGCCCGCAGGCCAGGCAGGGGCCTTGGTGTGCACACCAACTGCATGGGAGTGGAGGACTGGGGGAGGGACATCTGCAGGCCGAATGCCATCCAAGGTGACCCAGCACACCTGGCCGGCCATCTGGAACATTCTAACCACAGCTATTAAAAGAGGTATATTGGAGAACAGTGTTAGATACTGTAAATGAAATACCCCATAACCGAATGGAAAGAAGGTGGGTCAGGAATCCAGACAGACTAAGCTTGACTCCTGGCCTGACCACTCCCCAGCTGAGCAAGCCTCCTCACCTGTGTGCCTCAGTTTCCTCACATGGCAAATGGGGCAGTCATCAGACTTATTTCATAGGCTTATTGTAGGAATTAAACATCGTGCATTGAATGTGCTTAGCAGAGTGCCCAGGGCGTGCACACTCAGTGAATGTGCTTAGCAGAGTGCCCAGGGCATGCACACTCAGTGAATGGACTTTGATCATGTTTGTGACTTCGTATTATAACTAGGGTCAGGTTCCATGGTATAGCAAATATCACCCAGGCATAACCAAGATGTGTGTAGAAACCCCCAAGTCCCCCAGAATTTCCACGGAGTGGGAACACACTCAGCCTGCGCCCCCTGACACTTCTATTCTCCTCCTTCCTGAGGCCCCTCATCGGGACCAGGGCTCCTGGTACAGAATCCTCAGGCTGAGCAGGGAGCCCTCTCCCCTCAGCAACTGGGTCTGTCTCCCAGGCCTGTGGGAGCAACTTTCCCTCCACGAGACCACGCTGGAGCCGCCCCTAGGATGGCCACGAGGAGCTGCCCTGAGGTGCTGGGCCGGGGCTACAGGTGGCCTGAGCCACCTAACCTCTGGCCTCCTAGACGGGCCTGCCAAGTGCTTTCATATTGTGATTACTCTCGCCCTTGAATCTTGCCTGATGTGTCACTGACCCATCCTGCAGAGGCCAACCTTGGGAGGTCATGCAATTCGCCGGCCCTGGAATGTGTTCTCTCCCAGACACTTACTGCTGGCTCCCCCAAAGGACAGCACGTTCTAGAATTCAGTAATAATGCCAGGCAGCCAAGATCTCCTCCCCCAGTGACTATTCCCCTCTTGACTGTGCAGCCATCAATTCCAACCCTCCCAGGGACCAGGCAGGTGTTGTGACGGACTGCATGGGGACTGGCCAAACCCTTCCAAAGGGATGGCTGCTCTTAGCTCCAGCCAGTGACGTTACATCTTTACCTTTCAAAAATGTACAATGTCCTTAGAGAAAAAGCGAATGGATGGAAGGCCATAGGGATGTATAGGTTCGGTAAGATGTTAATGGTAGAATCTAGGTGGCAGGTGTATGAATAGTCACTGTAAAATTCTTTCAACTTGTTTGTATGTTGAAAATTTTCATATGAAATGTTGGGGGGAAAATTAGGATTTTTTTCCTGCTCATAAAAGTCATACTTCTTTCTTCCACTTTTTCTCCAAGTCCATTTGGTGTTACAGCGGTTGTAGTCACATGTGCTACTCTGTTTTCTGTCCATGTGGCCCATGAACTTAAGCTGTGAGAAGACAGGGACCAGGTTGCCTCAGTGCCCCACTGTATCCCCAGTTTCTGGCCCAGAGCTGGGCCCCGTGGGCGCTTAGATGATATCTGTGGCACAAAGGAGTGAATAGATTGTGAAAAACATGAATCTAGAGGCATATCTCCTGCCAGGCAGTATCCCTCTCCACTTCCTCACAGTTAAGACTGACCCGACGCACTGGTTCCAACCATCCGTACAATCAAGGTGGCCGAAGCTATGGGAAGGGACTGGCACCTCAGTTTCCCTGTCTGTGAACGAGAGCACTAGTAGGACTGACTCCCGGAGGGCTGCTGTGAGGGGAGAGACATCGTGTGTGCAGCGTGAGCGCTCAGAGCTCTGGCCACAGTTTTTACTGCTGATTTTCAATGAAGCCGTTTGATGGAGAAGACAAATGCAGAAAAAAATGTGACTTGGCTTTCTTGGCTCTGAAGACAGCTCTTCTGCAGTTCTGAGCAGCCCTGCCCAGGTGATGGGAAGAAAGGCTTTTTGTTTTTCATTTTCCTGAGAGTGTGCTATTCGGGTCACGAGGCCACCGTGGTCAGCAGAAGCTGGCCTGACAGCCGCTGTTATTATTAGGTGTCGTGGCCATTATATAGGGACAGAAGGGGTAGGAATGTGGGGACTAAAGTGTAACTTCCAGAGCTGGGGGTGGAGCAGAAGCAGAGAGGGGGAGGTGGGGGGGGGGTGACACAGGAAGTCACCTCCATGCTGTCCCCAGAGGAAGCGCCAGCAGGAAAGGGACCTCTCTGGACACATAAATGTGCACGCTGCCGTCAGTTTGGGAGCATCTGTAAACAGTCCGCTTGTGATTAGGGCGAAGCCACGTAGTGCTGTAAGTCAGCGGGTCCTGGGTTCGAATCTCCACTCTGATGTGACTTTGGACAGCAACTTAACCGCACTGGGCTCAGGTCTCTCGCTTTCCACAGCCCAAAGGTGCTGTGCAAACAGGAGGCACCCGGGGTGCAGCTGGGCTGACGCCTGTTTCAACACAACCCGCCGCAGGTTCTGGTCTCGGGTTTTGTCTTTGGTGCTGTCCAAGGCCACCAGGCCTGGAAAAGCCAAGTGACCTGCCAGGGGTCACAGAGCAAAAGCCAAGGCTCTCTCGCCTTTCTTGCCAGAAGGTTTCTGTTTGTGTGAGTTCAACAAAAGCAAGGGGACTCTTGATGGGAAAACTGGAAGATGATTTTCACAGTTTAAGCTCAAGCTGGGCCCTGCTACGGATGCAACTTGGAGCCTGACAGTCTCCAGCAGGTTACCCAGCCTTCCCTTTCCCACAGGACAGCAGCCCTGCCCCACCACTGCCCTTCTAGTTTTACCAGTTTTACAGTTTCCCCAAACTTGTTTTTTTATTGTGAGCAAAACAGGCTCTTTAAAATGCCACCCTGAACCTGCCAGGAGGGAGGGAGGGGGATCGGCGTGGGTGGTACACTAGTTCCCCATCCTCCGTCCAGGAAGAAAGGAAGGTGTGTTGAAAACAAACAAAGTAAAAACAGAAAACAAAAGAAAAACCAGATACGATCCTACCATCTTTCACAGAACCACCTCCAGCCAAGCGCTGTGATGTGNGTAAAAACAGAAAACAAAAGAAAAACCAGATGCGATCCTACCATCTTTCACAGAACCACCTCCAGCCAAGCGCTGTGATGTGCAGCGGGCTGGTTTAGAGCAGGAGGTTTTCCTAAGCACGTTCATTCCACCCAGAAGGCCTAAGAAAAAGATCAATAAGTCTGATTACAAAACCGGGTCTGATCACCAATCAAAGCCAAGCCACAAACTCAAGGGGGGAGGGGCCGATCTATGCAGCCAACACCACAGACTAAGACCCGCCCACTGTGAAGAGCTCTGAAATCAGTAAGGAAACCACCTTGTAGAAAAAATGGGCAATTCACAGAAGAAATGAAGACACTTGATCTCGGTGCTGAAAGGAAAATAAGATTAAAACAGAAATAGTTTCCATCTACCAAATTTTATCAGTGCACCAGCCTTCTCAGGCACAACCTCTCTGGATGGAATTCGTCGGAATAGAACAAAAACGTCCCTGTTTTTGT